TAGCCTGTTGTTACTTGCCTCATGCTTGACACTGTGTTAGTTCTCATCTTCTCTCTCTGTAGATGAGCCCTCTCCCTTGCCAAAGCTCCTGTGACTGCTTAATTGCGCATAATGAAAAAAAGTTCAAAATAGCCCCAGAATTTCATAAGCTAGACGCTTCTTAAAATTAGAAATTTCGAATGCCTATTACCTCAGATAGTAAAATGCCTAATTACCCTTTGCGGTATCACAGCAGTTAAGCAATCACCATATGCCCTCATGAAGTGTGTTTTCCACTCAATAGGGCAATAAGGATGAGATCAATTGAGCATTTAATTATTGTAAAGATGTAAACCCATGATTTAGATCCTGCTGACAGTTAAAAGAGGACTCCAGCCCTAATAATACATGCACATGGTGCTTTAACTGTATTGCTGTTATTGAAGTTTATTTGCTGATATATGGAATACTTGTTGAGATTCACTAGTGTTCAGTGTGTGTGTGTGTGTGTGTGTGTGTGTGTGTGTGTGATACTGCTGACGGTGCTAAGTTTGAGTTACATTTACCTTGAGGAGCTCTACCAGAGATGCAGCTCCGCCAGCTTGGCTTTTAATGTTCCCAATGAAAGCCCCTTATTAGGATCAGTGGAAAACAAAATAAATAATCTGTGAGTGAACTCGTGGAAACAAATGCCGGGGAGAGATGTCATAAAAATGCAACTCTCACTACAAAAAATATCACACGTCTCAAGTCTCAAGTCTCAAGTCTTTTTGTAAAAAAATAAGCAAACATGCTTAGAAAGAGAGACAGAGAGCAAACCAGCAAAAGACAGAGAGGTATGGATGACCGATGAAGAGCAGGGTGCATATGGGGGTCTTGTGTGTGTATATGAGCGCATGGGGGGAAATAACAGCATTTGAATGATGGTTGTGACAGAGGCTGATGTCTGCTCAGGGCCCGTGTGGCTCCAATAATAAAGATACTGTGGCTCAAAGTGGTTTCATTCTGTCTTAAATGCTCCTTAATCTCTCCATAAATGACATTTGGCTCCCAGTAAGGAGAGTGAAAAATGCAAACTGTTTGTGGCAGTGCCACTGTGATTTTAATGGTCATGTCAATAGAGAAAAAGCTGCTGAGCTTAAATGTTCGGAGAGCTCAGTGTATTTTCATTTTAAATTTTTTATATAAAACATTCAGATATGATACACTGCATGTACTTAGCTTGTAGAAATTACAGCCTACAATTGTAGCTCTCAGCACTTAAGAGGAAGAAAGAAATTATAAATACTGTGTGCTGTGAAAAGCTACATATCTGTAAGTGCTGCAGTAAGTCGGATACAAAATAGGAGTAGCCTTTTCCTGGTGATCAACTGCACTTTTCACAAGTCATTTTAACTGGATTGTCAATACACTGTCTATTCTGCTCTCACCAGGCTCTGACCTTTTTTAAATCAATGCTTTTCTATAAGGAGCGCAATTTGTGGAGCACACAGAAGGGCAGAACGCGTTCCCTACCTCTCTGCTACTGGATGTCACTTTTTGTCATAGCCATATTGACACTATACTGCATGTACATACAGGCACATGTATGTTTACGTATGCTCGCATGCACACAGGCTGACATTGATTTTGATCAAAGCATGCGGTTATGCGTCAGTGTGACAGCGAGAGTGCTCGTAATTTGCAGACTTCCTGGCTGCTCGCCCAGATAAGGCCCATAAAGGATCGACTGTGGGATAATGAACCTGTATGACACACCTGCAGCTGGAGGAGCAACTCCAAGGACGTCTCACGACCTCCTTCATACCCACATCTCATTATGAGCAGCGAATGGTTAAGGCTGGTGATTACAGACAGAGCTTATTCCACTGACATCGACACAACATTGGTGCTGTAAGGTCAAGAAGATGCTTATCAAAACATTGTTGGAAGCTGCCTCATGCTGTGTGCATGATCCTTGATGACTTTGACCTGAAGTTGATATTCATCTGTCCTGAATCTTAATAACAGATGAGGTTTGTTTCACGGGTTTGTTACTTTTTCAGCTATTACCTACCAGAGCAAGCAAAGGAAATAATTAGGACGAATCATGTGTCTGTTATGTTTGAGTCTAATAAACACAATATTAGCTTCTACTGTATATTAATGTGATTCTTTATTGATCCCTGCAGGAAAACTCTCATTTCTCTGGCTGCTGTTTGCACTGAGGATGAGAGTACAGCAGTGGAGATTCTTGCCTACTCAGGCTTTGAACCTTAAACCTCTCCGTTTGAGGGTGATCTTCCTCGTCATCCAACTAGTAAGCCTCCATCTTCACAGAATTTTTAATTCATCAGGTTATTTTATTTTACTACGCTGATAAAAAAAAAGAAAAATATAAATAATGTCTTATATCTTTTTTTCTGTTATCTACACACATGCAAATCACTGTTGCAAGACGAGCTTGTACTTGCATATAAAAGGGAAAACACATCACAACACATAAATGATTCCAAAATCAGCTGAAAGAAGGAAGCCACAGTGTTGCCCTGCTCCCCAGGAGCTGTCAGCGTGACAGATGCCAGTATGCCCCCTCTCCACATGACCATAAACCATTTACAGAATAGAAATGGTTACTTCACCTTTTAACATCTTGGCTTGATCATGTTTTTTTATTTCATGAATGTGTTTGACCTCTTCTTGCATCCACTGTGATCTCTGCACCTCTGTTTTGTGTTTCCAGCCAAGATAGGTGAGATCAGTGATTCCCCAGGGGGGTATTTCTGCAGTTGCCCAAGGATTTATGAAAAGACTGTGGATTAATGCAACTAATAAATAAAACAGAATAGAATAGCTGTAACAATGAGCAAGTGTGAAGTTAGCAAGCAAGCAGAAAAGTGAAGAGTTAGCAAAAAAGTTAAATGGATAAACTGTTAAAATAAAATAAAGACTACCTATTAAGGCATACTTTTAGCCAACATTTCAAGATAAACAGATGACATGTTAGTTAAAAGTAACAGATACATTGTTAAAATAAAAAGCTAAAGGTAAAATTGCATAACTGACAACTAGCAGATGTCTCAGAATGGTAAACGCAGTTAACATATTGTATTTGTTCATGTTGTTTGTTAGCCAGGTAGCTAGTGAATGTGGCTGACCACAATAGTGGCTGTGAAACACAACATATCTGCTACAGTGTTACAGGGTGTTGAGACTGTCACATTGTTATAATGTTGTACATAGTGGAAGGAAGCTCCAGGGTCCATGTTAATGCAAACTCTCGCTCTCCATACTGACAGGTCCAGTGTGCGCTGGAGGTCTCAGGTTTCTTTGCCAGTGGCATTGTCTCGCCCAGGGTGCATTTAAAGCTCAGATTTTAGGGAAATGTACATAGCCTACATTCTGTCCATTCTGGGCTACTGTAGAAACATGGTGATGCAACATGGCAGTCTCCATACAGTAGAGAGTACCTCTTTCTTTCTAAGATAACAAAAAATCTTATTACTCAGGTAATTATACACTAATTAAATATTATATTCAATTTCAGCCAATGGATTCCCCTAAATCTTACATACTGGACCTTTAACATAGATACATGGTTAAAATAGATAGCTAAAGGTAAATGATTAGTTTAAAATGATGGATAAACAACTGAAACAGTTAGCTAAATTCACAGTTATGTCACAGTTATCTAATAGTTATCTAAAAGTAATGAATAATGGTATTAAATAGTGGTGTCAATGAAGGGGTAGCTCAGTGATAATCAAACAGGCTTTGGGGTACGTCTATCAAAATACCAGTGGTAGATTAACATTGTGCTTTTTTGCATTTCCCAATATCAGCATGCACCTCATTCTGGTTACCAGTATTGATAAGACCTAAATTTGTCAGCACAGTTAAGGAGACAGAAAAGGGGTTGCTGGTATTGAGTGCAAAGAAATGGGTAATTAGCTGACGGCTGACTCAGGCCACTTGCAGCTTTGTCAGGGTGGAGATGGAAAAACCAATGAAACGCATCTCCTCGGGTGTCATAAGGCTTTGCTTTATGGCCAGTTTGTGTAGCCTTGCAGATTAAGTTCAAAGAAAGACGACCACTCTTTTCTCCATGCATCTTAAATCCTGTTTCTTCTTAGCTGGATCTGTAGATCAATTCTTTGGGCTGCGCTCTGATATCCCTGGTGTCAGCAGCAATAGGGCAGCTACAGGAAGGATAGGAAGGACTGGGTGTCTAAAAATATATTATCAAAGGGACAATTTCACCTCAGATTTAATAGTGTTCACAGAACTGCATGGCCGTTCCACTCAAATTGCATACTTTCCTGCAGTCTGAAGTGGCTTTCTTCGATGGCATAAGCATTCAAGCTCATAGCTTCCAGTGGGCTCCAATTGCAGCTTCCATAGGAAGATGTAATGCTAGCCTTTGAAAGGCAAGAAAATAACAGTCAATCAGTGGTTCAGCTATGATTCATGCAATGAGTTCTTTCTCACAAACTACTTCGAGCATTTATCTCAAGAGAGCAGCACAACATGGAAATAAAGGGACTGGTGTCTGTAGATGGCACACTTTCTTTCTCTTTTTAGACACAAAGACCAATTTCAAATGGTGGAACTGGCAGACAACCTGCAGCTGTCTCATCTCTGACTATAACCTACTGCAGGCAGCTGGTACCGCTGAATGATCCTGGTATTATTCTTTTTAGGTTCAAAGTTAACTTAAAATGAAACACAGTACATGCAGTGTTCTTTTGGGTGAGAAACATATCTGTGACAGACACAGCAGGATTTAAATTTGGCTGAAAGACAAACCAACTACAGAGGGATTACAAGATAAAAGACAAGGAATTTGCACTGTTTTCAGCACTAAAACTCAAGCACTTATCCACTTTCCTCAGGTTTGAAGAAATAAAAAAAACCCACATCAAACAAATGGTTGCAAGAAGATTTCAGCAGCATGGTAGATATGTATTACTTACATATGAATAATTTATTTTAAAAAGTCTTAAAAAATATAAACAGTATTACACTGACAAAAATATCCAAACACACCCAGCACATAACACTTGCACTTGCATTGCAACAGTTAATCAGTATTTACAGGATTTAAGTATTTATAGTAAAGAAAAAACAAATACATTATTCTCATATTCACGACATTTTCACAGTTGCAGAAGATTGCACCAGTGACATTTTAATCCTTTTCCAAAATGCATTAGCAACACTTGGAAGGCAAGCCCTATAATTTCTGGATTTTCTTCCCCCTCTCTTCCTGCATCTCACCTTCAGGAAAATTTTCGTCTGACTTAAGGTCAGATTTCCTCTTAAATGGTACCTGGACTCTTTGAAGTGTCTGTTATCCTTGTTTAATCTCTGCTAACACTGAAAATATGAGAACATTGAATCGTGAAAAAAAAGCATAATAACTTAATCACATCAACATACAAGTCAAGACGAGTTTTCAATTAGCACATACAGCAGTATAGACTTTATTTTGGATTAATACCCTTTCCAGCATTACACATCCTTGGAATTTGGCACTTTTAATATCTTTAACAAAACCATAAAAAGTGAAAATACAAGTGATATTAAATTACTTTAGGCATTATTCAAAAGTAAGATAAATTACATTCATTTCATCAGCATCATGACAGAGAGGAAAGTCAGCAGAACTAAATAACAGTAAGATGTTTTTAAACTTTTAATCAAATCTACTATGTGACTGGCTGAAAGGTCCTGTGTTCCACTAAACTATGGGACAAGTTTCTGAGTTCAGCTGCAGAGTGAACCTGTTTGTATCCCAGCAGAGCCAGAGTGTCATTGCACAGATTCTGCACAGTCCTCACGATGTCAAAGCCGAGACGAAGCCTCCAGCTCTCGGCTGTCGCTCTGGAGTCTCTGGTGGTGGAGTACCTGTAGTTCCACTCAGACGGAGATGATACGTTACTGTTGGTGTTCTTTGCAATCCACATCCGCACCCTGTCCTCCATCTCCAGCCCCACGAACCTGTAGATCTCATTGGCCTTGTCTTTCGGATTGAAAGCCAGGTCCTCATACCGCACCAGCAGGTAGCGCCCCCGCAGCCATGCCGGTCTTTGCAGGCTAGTTTCTGCAGAGGCCGCCATGTCCTTACAGGTGCTGGTGATCTGAGACAAGTCCACGTAGCGAGGCTGCCTTCCTGTCGCGTTCCATATTTTCCAAGCGCGGAATTGATCAGAGAACGCCATAATGCGTGACGCGAGGATGGCTCTGGGGTCTCTCACAAGGTGGATGATCTTCAGGTCCAGACGCGGATCTTCTGTCAGGGTGCGCAGGTCCCCCACCTCAGGGACTCGCACAGTCTTTATGGCTATGTGTCCCCTTGACAGACATGACATAGAGGCTAGGGTGAGGTTCAAGGCCCCACACTTCTTAGGACACCAAGTTTCATCAGGTGGATCAGAGGCCGCTCCATCCCCTCCTTCCAAGCACACGGGAGCGGAACAGAGGGCGTGGCTGGAGCTTCGGCGAAAGAAGGAGCTTGTGACGTGGTCCTGGGGCTCTGGACGGATGTAATTCTCAATGAAGTGAAGGTCGCAGGTGTACAGGTTGAGGAGGAGGTCCCTGTATGCTCCCAGTAAGGCCCGGCGGTCCAGGGTGCGACGCAGCCGGCTGCTGGAGTTAGTGAAGGCTTGCTGGACGTGGTAGAGAGGTTCAAACACATAGAAGATCCCTGGGTGCTGGTTGAGGAGCTGCCCGGTGAAGGAGGAGCCGCTGCGTGTGGTAGCAAACAGCAGGATGTGCTTCCGGGGCAACTCGACCGGCATCCAACTGTCATCACACAAGGCTCTCCACCTGGAGTCTTCAAGAAAGAAACAACAAAGTCGTGTGTTTTTTTAACTTATATAATAATGACATCAGCTGCATCAAGGCCTCTTACAATGGGCTAGATAACAGCTTTGAAAAGTGACACAATCTGTTTTACCTGTTTCCTAGTTTTCATTTAAAAGAGGGGTTATTTCAGAAGAGTTACTTCAGTTCATAAGAGTGAAAGTGAGTCTGTTTTCGTCATAACTTCAAGCCAGGAGAAAGTAAATGGCTGAATAAAGCCAATAAAGCTTAAATAATTTAGAGGGTAAACACGCATGAGTAAGTTGCTTGTCTGCCGGTGGTTACCAAGGGGGTTTATGAAATGGCGGATCTCTAAATATAGCGCAAATAGCTAACGTGTAATTACTGCTGATGAGGAGTTGATTGCAAAGGGGACGTTACTTTTGTATACGGGAGCTCAGCGCCGGGAAGCTACAGCTGCACTATGAGAGGGGATTAATGGAGATAAATTGGAGAATAATTGTAAAGCGAATCACAGATATTTAATTTCTCTATCCTCCCCACTTCTTGGGAATTCCCTCATTTAATGATCTGCTTTCCTTTTCTTTTACTACAGTCACAGTTTTGATGATGCCTCTTTCTTTACTGAATATCTTTGCATAAAGCTTTCCTTCAAACTGCTAAAATTGAGGTAATATTATTAACATTACTTATATTACTAATTAAGTGTTGCGTGTGTTTGTGTGTGCCCTCTGCTGGTCTGTAACAATACATACCTTTTATGTTACTTATGTTATTTTTGCAATAATATATCTATACACGCCAACAGCGATTCACTGTCGTGTAGCGAGATAGAACAATATGTGGGGCAGTCTTGACTTGGCTACCTCTGTAATGTCTGGTCTGGCAGCGATAGGCTCCCTGACAGGGTCCAGACAGCGAGTCCCTCAGGGTGCGGATGGCCGTGTACTGGACCCCCAGAGACGCACACACCAGCAGCAGCACCGTCTTCCAGGAGCACTCCATCCTGCCCCCCCCTCTGGCTCTACATCCTTCACGCTGACGCTGCCAGGGAGGCACAGGGACACAATGAGATTTCATTTTGATGCATTTTTCCAGCTTCATACACATGTCGCTCCCACTCATTTTACGCCCGCAGCTCTCCACTGATGGCCAGTGAGCAGCTCTTGCTCTAGCAGGGATGATTCTTGCTCAAGGGCACTTCAACCGTAGAGGGTGAAATAGTAACATCACAATTAACATTTCCCATCCAGATTTCCCCTGCCTGTTCAATATGTGAACCTTTCTCCTAAAATTTGTGTAAGAGCATTTTTCCAGAGATGTAAAACAGTAATTTGAGTTAATAAAGGAATAGTTGAACATTTTGGGAAATAAGCTTATTTGTTTTCTTGCCGAGAGTTAGATGAAAAGATACCGCTCGTATGTCTGTACATTAAATGTGAAGCTATACAGCCAGCAGCCAGTTAGATTAGCTGTGCATAAGGGGAAAACAATTGGCCTGGCTTTGTCAAAAGGTAGCATTGAAGATGTAAAAATGCCAGTTTGGTTGGTGCTAAGGGTGTCATGTGCAGTTTTAAACAAACAAGGTTCAACTTTAGACAGAACCAGGCTAGCTGTTTCTCCTTGTTTCCAGTCTTTGTGCTAAGCTAAGCTAACCAGCTGCAGCTTGTAGTTATGAAATTAGCAAGGAAGTAAATGAGAGTATTTACCAAAAACTATTCCTTCAAATCACATATGCAGTGTTGCTTAAGAAATACATATTCAAGAAAGGTTAGTTCTCTCTCTCCAAGCAGAGCAAAAAGACAGCACCTTTTAGCATTTCTAACATAAGTAGCTTAAACACTTTGAATAAACAGTTTAAAGGTTTGGAATTTGTCTCCTAAAGGATTCACAGATTTGTTCTGCAGTAAAACACGATTCAACGGTTAGACCTTCACTTGGAAATGGTAGCGGTAATGTCCCTATCTACAGCTCCACTATTCAGGATAGCATATATTCAGTTGCATAATTGCATTTCAATTTTGCTTTCCTCTCTTCTGGGTAATTAAGCCCTAAGCCCAGCAGAGAGCTACATACCCAGATAAATATAGCTATTCACATACATGAGTGGAGAAGTTTCCTTTGTACACTTCTGAGTTCTTTGCCACTGGGCATGAAAGAGCAAAGGGAGATGCGATTTTCTAAATGGATTTTAGAAAAAAAAGGTGCTGCCATCCATTTGTACCTATGCACTAAATGGATGGTAGGTAATCACATGAGATGCCTGGGCGCAAACTGTGTCTCCATCACTCAAAGTGGCCGAACGGAGGCAATCATCATCAAAGCCACAGGTAAATATACATCATATTACTGACAAAAATAAATATTGCCTTCACCCTCTCTCTGTCACTCTGTCTCTCTCCAGTCTGCCTCTTGTTCATTAATGATGTTTATGTGTCCCTGGCAGACTCATGTCCTCAGGAATGCATCACACTGAGCTGAGATCAGCTTTTGATGTTCCATTAATCACAAACAGCGCAAAACCAAAGACATTTACTCTGTGGGTGACGGGAAAAGAAATCGAGCTGACATCATGAGCCATTCTGTTTGAATATAGCTAAAAACAGCAATCGCAGAATGAACTCATCAGGGGGAGAAACTTTGTTTCTTAGACTGGTAGTTGCAGACAAAATGACAGAAATGGAAACACTGTGGTTTGTTTCTTGTTACAGAACAGCTTTAAAGCTGCTTGTTCTGTTTGTGTGTTTGTTGAAGGACAGGAGATACGGATGAAAAAGCAGAGAAATATAAGCATGAATGACTGCAAATAATGAGAAACTTTTGACCAAGCTTCTTACCATCTCTGACACTTAAGAAAACATAGAAAAAAATCTGTCAATTTGACAGTCCTGCTATCTACACCCTATGTACTGCACAGCTGGCTGATCAAGGCACATCATATGATTCCTTTGCGACAGGTTTTGTTTTCCTTTCCAGTCATGATCAGGGCTCAGAGCCCCTCTGCTACACACCCTGCTGCCCTGTGGAGAATGAAGACAGATGCTTCAATGGATTAAAGCAATTTGATTTGCAAGTCCTCCTTTCTCCCTGGCTTATAAGTCCTCCCACACCGGGACTCACACCAGGAATAATAGACGCTCTGTCAACAGCTGGAAGGGGACTTCGAGCTTCAGATGGTCTCACTATTTGTATCCCTCATACAATAACAGTGCTTATAGGGGATAAAAGCCTCGGGGACAGGATCAACCAAAGATTACACTGTGCGGTGCCTGCTCCTCTGGCAGGTTTGAGTTGTAAATTTAGTGAGCACAGGCGTTGCTGCTGCCGAGATAACATAGCTAGCAGCAAAAGTGTTGGAGATAATGACATTTGTGCACGGTGCAGGAAAGGCAATTGCCACTGTGGAAAATAAAGGCAGCAAATGAGGTTAGAAGTTAGTGATGAGGATGGGACTGAGGGATTTGGGATGCAAGTTATTGAAGGATGTGACAGTGCCAAAGATTTTTCTATTAAGGCACCACGGTGTGTTCACAGATCCTCTGAGTGAGGCTGTTTATTGGCAAAGCCTGCTAATCAATCCTGGAAAACACAGAGAGTTGAGCAACAGTGCAACACCAGGAGGAGCTTCAAATCTCTAGTTAGTCTTTATCGCTCTGTTCTCCATCTATCTGTGCATCCTTTCCCTTCTCTTTGTCTCTCTAAAACAACACCACACACACACACACAGAGTACCACAGGCAGAGAGCAGAGCAGAGCGCTGCAGCGCACAGAAGAGCTGCATCTGACCCCGGGCTACAGAGAGGAGCTCTGTGATACGAGAAAATATGAATCTTGTCCTACATGATTCCTGCAGCACACAAACATGCAGGGCAAAGACACAGAGACTGAAGGAAGGAAGGATGACGAAAAAAAGGTCAACTCCTCATCTGATTTTGTCCGTGGTGAATATATTTCCCTTATGGGGATGCTGACTGTAAGTAGTTCACCCTGAGTGGTTCATTCACAAACAGAGATGAAGAGTGGTGAGTGGGGGTTGTTTCAGTGTTAAATTAAATGGATGTTAAGTGAGAAAATAATGTAGTAGTTTAGTGATGATGAAATTAAGGAATTGATGATAAAATAAGTGAATTAGGAAGAAGAGAACTGCAATTCATGAGGTCAATCTGCATCTTCATGTAGTACGTAGTAAGTTTTAGTGATTAAAAGCATAAATGTACATATGAAAATACTTAAAATAACATAATACAATACAGTGTAATGCCAATATAAACTCAGTCTAGAACCCTCCCCCCTCGGGTTTTCATTTTAAACCCAACTGTAGTATTCTTTTAATTAAAGTTAGATTAATAAAATAATCGGATAGCATTACTACATAAACCCATGTGAAGTATTGTAGTAAAACACACAAAGTAAGACCACGCCACTATAAACTCACTATTGAGCACCTCGGACGCACTTTAAGTCGCTGTGGAGAAATAATTGGCATATTTACTCCTCATTTCCTCAATACGGTGCCACTCTATGTCAGATTAAAGCATCTTGTTTGTTAGATAACAGTTCGGCTGCGGCTCGCTGCGCGTAAAATGCACAGCGGATGAAGAGATAAATAAAAATAAAAAGGTTTGCCTTACCATCAACGCACTCGATCAGATGGGATTTCTCCAGTCGGTCCAGTCCTATCCGCTGCATTTGTAAGTGTGCGTGTGTGTGTGTGTGTGTGTGGGGAGGATGGGTGGATCGAGCGCTGCCGCCGGTGTCCAGAGCCGAAGTGGAGTCAGAGCTGGAGATGCGCCATGGGTGGAGAGCGGCGAGAGGCTGACTGAGGAGGCATGTCTAACCCCTCCAGAGACCACACAGGCTACTGGAGCGGAGTCTCTAGATTGGATGCAAGATTGCCTTGCCGTGCATTACGCTTTGATGCCGTAGGGTACGTTTCATTACGTCTTGTGATCTTAACAGGCAGCAAACAGAAACCTCCACAGTGAGATATCACTAAGTGCAGCTAAAATGTGATCCTGTTTCTGTTTGCCATCGTGATCTAATTTGTTTGCACGCTCAGAAATCTCCCATATTTCATGGAGGCAGGTTTCATCATCTCCACCCAGGCATCAACAATCACTTCAGCATCCCACCATGAACATCAGAGTGTCATTGCTCCTTCTTTGTCTTGTCTTTCTCTGCAGGATGCTCACTATACCTCAAATGGAGCACCACACGCAAACATACCTCTCCCATGAAATTACAGTGGCACAATGACCTCTATTTTTCCTCATTTCAGTGTGGATGACTGCTATCATCGGATGTGGCCCCCCTCATCCTCACTCTGCTGCTGACTCCCCGGTGTGAAGGGATGGGTGCCATATCACTGCTCCCAGGGGGGTTACCATGGGGTCAGATTTAGCCAGTGACAGCTCCATTACTCCTGTGAATGGGGGTAGATTCTGTTTGCCATCTTTCAGATTTATCTCCCGCTGAGGCAGAGTCACGCTGCTAAAGTTTGTCTTTACTGTGATTCACAGAGAGATTGGTGATATAATGTTATGTGTCTCTGCTGCCTCTCACTTCTTGCTTGCATAATTTCAGCTGTTGGAGTAATTGCCCTAAACCTTCCATCAGTGGGAGATAGTTGCTCCAACTTTTCTGCTCATATCTTGCCTGTGCTTAAACCTTTCAGGCAGTACAACTAAACACACCAAAGCAAAGCAGGCAGAAATGATCTCAGAAATGGGAACTGGAGGGGCTGGAAGTCTACCTACGCAGATACAGAACAAGCTTTTTTGGTGATACGGGGCTGGGGGACATTATCGGCTCACTGTACAAGCACACATGAAGGACGACAAGCTGCCAAGAACGCCTGGTGAGTGATACAACAGTGTCCTGTCCTCCGCACCTCTCTGCGCTGATCCCTCGCTCTGCCTGCCTACAGCATCGATTCTCCCGGCTCTGAGCAGCCAAACGCCCCCACACCTTCTTGGTGAGATTTGAAACAGGCAATAAGAAAAAGTTGAATTTTCTGTGAGCGAGAGCTGAATCCTCCATGGGCCTCCCTGTTTAGTTATACCCACACTTGCTTCTCTCCACGCACACATGCAAAGCGCACAAAATCAGATGTGCATTAGAGATTTGGAGTGCCTTTCATTTTTCTTTTCCAGAGTTATCCGGTTCTTAACAAATGCCTAACCAATCTGCACTCTTTCTTCAAAATATC